ACTAGGTGCGTTTCTTTAAGTCTTCCTACCAATATGACCGAGTTGCGAAAACAAGGTCAAACAACTCCTAAATCTAGAGTTCACCCGGTCTGTGGCGATAAAAATTGCTTGCTAGTTTGGCATTTTTTTAATTATATTGGTACAAATGACACCTGATTTTTTCTGGCCAAGAGGTCGGTTCCTTCTGCCTTATCACAGGGCCTAATTAATACGAATGGCGGGATTTGAAGTCGGAAACCGGTCATGCCGACCGATATGCGGACAAGTTCTTTGGAGGGTTCCATTCAATAATATCAAAGCAGGACGCGTTTTATTTGCTAATTAATGAGAGCCCATTCAGGAGGCTAAACTTCCCTTGGCAAAAGAGCTGATAAAGGCTAGGATCCCGCCAGACGAGGCGGAAGAAACGACCACGTCTAGATACGAAAACAATGTTGGAGTGCGTAAAGCAATTGAATTATGTGGCAAAGTTGGGCTTTTCCTATGTTAATATGCATTGAAAGTATCAATAAGTCTTAAATAGGAACTTAGTCAATTTAGAAGTGGGTTGACCTCGTTGTCGCAACTTGGTCTTGTTGTCAAGGCGACTATGTAGAACGCACCTTGTTCGAATTCGTCTGCCATAGTAGTTGTCATGATTCCCAGCATCTGACAATTGACTGGATACATTCTCAAACGTTTCGCCAGCATCGTAGTCGGCATCATCAGTGAGTGCTGTCATTCTCCGCACCAACCTACGAACTCGTCAAAGAGACAAGTGAAGTTAATCTCTCGACGAGTTCGTAGCTTGGTGTGGAGAATGGCAGCATTCACTGATGATGCCGACTACGATGTCGGCGAAACGTTTGAGAATGTATCCATTCCACTGTCAGATGCTGGGAATCATGAAAACTACTATGGCAGACGACTTCGGACTAGGTGCCTTCTACATAGTCGCCCTGACAACAAGACCAAGTTGCGACAACAAGGTCAACCGACTTCTATAAATTGAAAGGAGACTGAGACCATAGCAGAGGCCACAACAACCTGGTCTTCATATATATTCTTAGTCAATTTAGGTCGCTTAAAGTAATAATGGGGTTTTGCCCATAAGACTATAAGTATGTCTCCCAAAGGTGTTTCCAAGTTAGGCCGGACTGAGGTGTCTATCTTCTCTCAGTTTCTTCAACAGCCCGACTATGCGCCTATGCGAGATCGAAGCTGCTGTTCAAGCAGGACGAGTAAGCCTCTCGGATGGCATGGCTAAATGACACTCGCTAGCATCTTGAGGTCTGCTCACATCATTGTAGGAAATTTCAACTGTCGGATCATTACCGAAACTCGTGCAACCTATTACTTATTCCCTATCTATCCTTAAGCAACATATGGTAAATAATGTCGTTCTCAAGAATCATGATTAGCTTCGAAGTCTACTCACATTAGAATATAAGTAGTGTCGTAGATAAAGGTAGCATAGCATGTTAGTCTTCTCGACATTCCTGCATAATGGCGGTTTTTGAGAGGCCTGATTTGCTGTGTATATCACATTTGCTATATGACACATTAAATTTCCTGTTCTTGGGGAGGCGGGAGGTCGACGGAGAAGCCTTTGGGCAGGCAGGGCTTCAAAAGAATCCACTGGACTTTCTTGTATTTGACCAAATTTGGATAGGTCCAACTTTTATTTCAAGCGAAACTTTACGATGAAGACATTCTAAAGTCGACCACACCAGGAGACGATAGCTGCTTGTTACTGGTCCGATGTTAGATTGCTTCAATAGACTCAATCTGATCTATCCGATTGTACCGGTAAAAGCCAATCAGCAACTATTCAGGAGGATCTAATTATCGTGGTCTTCTGGTGAAAACAAATATCGAATTTTTTCATCACGCAATTTCACAGTGAACTGAAGAGAGCCTGACAACAAGTGTAAAAGAAAAAATTCCTCGAAAGCTAAAATTTTTGGAATATTCCACTGGGACCTACCGTCTACTGACCAAGAGAGATCGGCAATTTCACTCGAAATTGAATTTAGCTTAACAACGATTGTAAACCAAGATATTTCTGGAAGCCCAACTTTCTTTTAACTTAAATGTATGCTTTCTCTTTATTTGATCTTGGGCAAATCAGCTCTGGCTGTTTTTCCCTTCATAACTAAGTCGTTGAGACATATACTCGGGAATCAGAAGTGCAGTCAATTCTTGCTTGATCGAGCGATTTTAGAGGAATTTATTCAGCGAAATTTGATCAATTTCTGCTTTTCACCTCACTATGTGATCTTAAATTGACCATTACTCTAATGCAAAACAGTTGACTTGTGTACAGCTTGCAAATTTGTTCTTGTTTCGATTCTACCACATCACACTCATCCCATCAAAAACTCAGTCAAATAAAGATGGCTGCCGGAATTCGAGTGTCTAAGGGTCTCCTTAAGGTGAAAGGGGCCTCTTTTTT